TATATGTTGTTTCCCTTGATAGACTATAACCTTCTTGAGGGCAGGCAGGGATTGGTTTTCTCTTTGTGTACTTAGCATTTTGCACCACCAAGTCTAGCACATAGGAGGTATTGAAAAAAATGCTTGCTCACCAATTGATTGATTAGATTATGAGCCTAGACTTAAGCTGCATTAAAACAATAATATTGTGTTCCCACAATTTATCTACTGAATGTAACTGACGTCTGGAGATTTCACCTCAAACAACTAACCCTCGGAGTCATTATCTGAGGGTTACCAGAGTGGAAAACACTGGTTCTTTGGGAAAGAAATTCTCTTTTTTCTCTTTCTAGTAGCAAAAATCCACTTGTGGCAGAAAACCATCTAGATCACACAGATAGAATACCCAGTGAACTTGGGTGGTGACACCTTTGAATTAAAATCCTGGAGGACAGGTTCTGTTTTTTCCTCTCACTTCTGCACACAGGAAGGGTCAGAAAAGCTTTCCTGTTCATTCATTCCCCTAGAGATTCCACTACAGCAATAGCTGCCTGTGGAGTACAGTGTCTGGCATACAGTAGGTGCTTAATCAATACTTGTGTGCTGACTGACATGGTCAAACAATTTTCTTCTTGCAAAGTCTTGTTAAAAATATGCTTTTAGAATCCATATGTACAAAAACATTTGTAGCAACTCTTTGTCGTGGTACCAAAGTGAAAACTGCCCCGTTTTAGAAAGTGCCCACCTACTGGAGAACGGCTAAACAAAGATGAATGTAATGGAATGTTATTGTGCCGTAAGAAATGACGGAATGGGCAGTTTAAGAGGAATCCTTTATGAACTGAGGAAGAGGGAAGTGAACAGAGATAGAACAATTTATATAATGGCACCATTATGGAGAAAAACAACTTTTGATAGACTTTAGACCTCTTATTAATGTAATGATAAACCATGAGTCCAAAGTATTGAAGATGAATTAGTTCATTCACCTCCTGCTAGAGGAGGGATGGACTTAAAATTGAGAACAAGACATGCAATATTTGAACATGGTCATTGTCAGGATTTGTTTTGCTACGTACCTTTATTGGGACAATTTTGTTTTTTTGCTTTTTTCATTGTTCTGTTGAGGAGATAAATATTAAGTGAGAGGGAGAGAAAAGAAATACTTTTGTTTAAAAAGTATCCTTTTAATGTGTTGATATTGGGACTGTCCCAGAAAATCTGAGACATATGGTAAGTATACACATGTGGATTTTGTGGAGGAACTCTTGAGCAGGCTAGCCTCCTGATGGCCTTAGGTCTTTAGAGTGAGGACCACGATGCTCTGTCTAATACACTGAAGTAATGGCCAAGTGACGGAATCTGTGGATGGTGGTGAAATTGCCATTTGGTGTTCAAGAAAGGGTCTGACAAACAAATTGCTTATGCAAAGTTTATTTCACCAAAGTTAGAAAAACAGAAGGCCTGCAAATAAAGCAAAGGTATTTATAACAGTTGCAAAAACATAAAAATCAATTCTCATTCTGCATCATCTCATGCTAAAATATAACCTTATTGTTGCACAGTGTAAACAATATACAGACGTAACATGAAATCATGGGACTCGATAATAAAATCAGGGACTGACAGCAAATTGTTCTGCTGGCACAGTAAGGTCTACGCTGGCCAAGTATAATGGCTCTGCTTCACCTTGGTCTGTGATGACTGCTATAGAAATAGTGGAAACTGGTCCTTCCAGAACACTCATCATTGATGACCACAATGTAGATCTCCAAGGGTTAACTGGAACCACCAAGTCTTCCAGGGGCTCCAATTCTACCATGTTGCATGTCGAGTCTGCCAGCAAATGTGAACAGCCTTGTTTTGACACGGCACCCACCTGAACTGAGTTTTCACTGGAAGGAGACGTGCTTTTTTTTGCCCATTGGGCACAAAAACAACAACTATAAATGGTGGAGAGAAGCTCGCAATCCCATAGCAATCACTGATACACACTCTGGCAAGCAACCTCCCTTCATGCATGGGATGAATCCAAAGGAAGGCGAAGACCTTCTTGCCTTGGCCCAGCCAAGAAAGCATTGCTAAGCTCCAGCCCTGAAGCAAGGAGAACTCTATTCAGGTCTCAGCAGAGCAGAGATTTATGCAATTTCTCATGCTACCTTGTAGACTAGATGGAGAGAGGTGGGCTAGGTGACATAGTACAATTAAGTGCATTTGGAACTAGATGAAGTGCGGATCAGGAAAAAAAAGGCCATTAATTAATGATTGGATGTCACCTTGCAATTGTTGTTTGTTGTTCAGTTGTTTTGTCAGTCATGCCCACCTCTTTGTGACTCCGTTTGGGGTTTTCTTGGCAGAGATGCTGGAATGGTTTGCCATTTCCTTCTCCAGCCCATTTTACAGATGAGGAAATGAACTCAAACAGGGTGAAATGATTTGACCAGGGTCACAGCGTGTCTGAGTAAGTGTCTGAGGCCAGATTTGAACTCATGAAGATGAGCCATTAATGAATGACTGGATGTCAATTTGCAAGGCCATCTCTAAATGAGCACTCTAGGGTATCCCTTCATGGCTTTGTGCTGTTGAACATCTTTATCAATGAAATGTGTAAAGGCATAGATAGCAAGCTTATCACATTTACAGAAGACACAAAACTTGGATGGATAGCTTACACACTAGAGGACAGTCAGAATCCAAAACAATCTAGGGAGGCTAGAACATGGGTCAGAAAATTACTACTTGAGGTCCAAGTCCAGTCTACCACTTGTTTTTGTATGTCCATGCTTAGTTCATGAGCCATATGACAAAAGGAAGTGAGTCAGATTTGACCCAATCCTTGGGCTTGAGCTTGGGTCCGCTCTAGCAAGATAAAATACAAATATACATTCTTACACTTGGCTTCAGGAAATCAACTTGGCAAGTACGAGCCAGAGGGGGCATGACTAGAGAGCAATTACCTGAAAAAGACTGGGGAAGTTTTTTGTACTGTAAGTTTAAAATCAGCCAACAGTGTGATAAAGTTAAAAAAAAAAGCTGCTGTCATCTTAGACCACATGAGAAGAGGCCCAGAACATTTAGCACGAAGGTGATGGTTTCACTAACCTGTCCTAGTCAGATGACATCTGATATCTGACATACTATTTTCAGTTCTACGTACTACATATGAGAGAGGATACAGACAAACTGGAGAGCATCTAGCACCTTCCCTCTGCTGATTATTTCCATTTAAACTATATGTAACTTACAAACTACATATATAATTGTTTGCATGTTGTCCTCCCTATTGGACTGGGAGCTTCCCGAGGGCAGGGGCTGTCTTTGCCTTTTTTTGTATCTCCAGAACTTAGGACAGTGTCTGGCACATAGTAGGAACTTAATAAATGTTTGTTGACTGACACTGAAAGTCTGTGACTCTGTGAAATGCTCTTACTGTCCAGATAGACATGTCCTCATCTCCAAAATGAGGGTTGGATTAAATTACCTCTAAGTTGGACTAAATCATCTCCACATTTCAATCCCATGAACCTATAGTACAGTATACATGACAATATTAGAAACACTAAAGCATATGCCTCCATGAAAACCATGGATGCTTTTCAATGAGAAAACTACGGAAGGGAATCTGCTTTCTGAATAACCCAGATGTTTTTGCTGAAAGGCAGTGCCACAGATTGGCTGCAACTCTGTTGTTGGTTTTGATTAGAAAGCACCAGAAGGAATGTTTTTCAAGATAGGCACCATGAAAACATGCGTGTGTACAGTACATGCACCTGATTGGGATAGAAGGAAAAAAGTCCAATTATATACCTATAAATATAATTCTGTGTCCCTTTACCTGTGGAAGATTTATTTCTGTAAACCATGGAACTAACAACTCCCCCCACCTTATTCATTAAGAAAACAAATACCCAAAGAAATCTGTATTCTTTAGCTGCTGTCTTGGGTAGGTTAACCCAACCTTGGATACCACAAAAGAATGAAACTGTACTAAACACAATATTCAGTGCCAGGGAGGCTAAGAAGGTGCTCACTTCATGGTTTACCTTGGGACAGCAGCCTCAGATACAATCAGACTGTCCAGGAGGCTTATTGGCTATCCACAACAGAAGTGTCAGACACATGGCCCAGGGGCAGCCTACCAGCCTGAACCAGATGGAAATATAATTGGGAAAATAAAGATGCAAGAAAACATAGATGATATCAAAATGTGGTTTTCTAAGTCAATATGCACCCACAGGGATACTCATATATCCATATCCATATCTATAGATATGCATATATATATATATATATTTCCAGTTGAGTTTGACACCACTGTCTACATTTCCATCAATTAAATACTAGACGGGTAGCAGGGCCTGGATGGCAGGGAGAAGTATAAACTGAAAGCCGAAACAATAGCTTTGCAATATCACATGGCTACTATACTCCAAAAGGGAATCCTTCTATTAATAATAATCCGCCTCCATTAGAATGTGAGTTTCTTGAGGGCAGAGACCATGTTTTTGTTTTTCTTGGTATCCCAGTGCTTAAAAGAGTTCCTGATACACAGTAAGTGTTTAATAAATGTTTATTGGCCAGATGGCTTTTATCTGTCAGCACCAACCTAATGTACTCCACATACATGACATCACCCTGTCCCGGGCTGGAATATCAATACGGTTCCCTTCTGAAAGGAGACCTTTCATAGACCGTGGCCAGCTTCCATGGGGTCGGATAGTGTCAGAACAAACCTGTTGGCTGCTTTTCTCTTTTTCCAAAGGATGGCTAGATTCATTAAGAGAGCAGCCTTTGTATCCCAAAGCACAGATATCAGGTCCACTTGGCATTTTAAAAGAGCCTTTCAGGCCTTGGTTCTTGTAACAGTGAGTGGTTGCAGTGACTGACATTCAGTAGATTTGGTTGCTAATAATAGTAATAATAAAATATGAGAATGATATAATAATACTAACCGGCATTTCTATGGAATTTTAAAGCCTGCAAAGTGCATTATGTACATTTTCTCGTTTGAACCTCACAGAAATAAATACTATATGTGGAAAATCTTTCCCCATTTCCCCTTTTCTCTATCCCTACCTCAAGAAAAAACAAAACAAAATTCTTTATGGATGAAATTCTGAATGTAAAAGGTGGCAGGTGAGAGCAAGAAAGCAGGGTTCCCTACCAAGGCATATGAATGTCTAGAACAGAGGTTCTAAATTTTTTTTTTTGTCATGGGCCCTTTCCAAAGTTTAGTAAAGCTTATGGACACCCTTTCGAATAATATTTTTAAATGCATAAAATAAAATAAAAGATGTAAGACTGCAAAAGACACCAATGATATTGACATAGATATCAAAATATTTTTAAAAACAGGTTCACAAACCCCAGGTTAAGATCCCCCTCTCTGTTGGAAGGTGTGGCATTTTTGTGGTTTCTTCATTGTTTTTCTGAATGAGTGTGGTTATTGCCTTCCTCTTGAAATGGGGTCTGTTTGATCCTAGTCTTCCTCACCAGTATACCTTTGCCTGGAAACAATATATATGCAACAGCTACAGAAGACAAGCAAGAATAGCACTGAGTGACTTATCACCAGGACACTCACGGCAAAGAGGTACAGGGTTTTATCGCAGTAATCCTGAGGCTGGTGGAAAGGAGGAATAAAATTGGGCAGGTAGATGGAAAAGACCCAGTAGTTGCCCAGTATGAACCATATGAAGAGGAAGAGGCTGAGGATGAGGTGGATATAGTATTTATGAGCGTTCTGTCTCCAGGGATATTCATCGTCATCGTCATCATCGATCACAACAGACTTGGAGAGCAGCTGCCTCATCTTGGTGGAGTCATAGAGCAGAAGGGAAACCTGTGACATGGGTAGAGCGGCCCGGGCAGGCAGAGAAGGGGATGGGGAGGAGGAGAAAGAGAGGAAGAGAATGTCATAGATCATTAGAGATGGAAGGCGGTGGAGGGAGGGGGAATCTTTAAAGTTCATCTAGTTACAGGATCATGGATGAAGGATCACGGACCCAACCCCCTCATGTTTTTAAAAAATAAATTTGTATCTTGTGGCGAAGTGGATAGACTCTGGAGTCCGGAGGACCTGAGTTCAAATCCGGTAAAGGGAGTCAACTTCCTTCCTGTTCCCCTTAGAAGAATGTAAGTTCCTGGAGGGCAGGCACTCTCTTTTATTTGTATCCCCAGTGCCCAGTGCACAATGGGAACTTAATGAATCCTTGTTAATTTATTGATTGATTGACTATGGAAGTCATTTCACCTCTTTTGGATTATCATATCTATTTCCCAAGCCATCGTCTCATAGGAATGCTGTCAGAAAAAAAAGGTATTATGCAGGGGTGGACTGAAGTCAGCTCAAACTGGTATCGCTAAATTTTCCCACTTCAGAAATTAATGAACACTACAAATCAAGACTTCATTTATTGTTTCATTGATTGTGGAGTTTTAAGAAAGTTGGAGAAAATATTAATAATGCAAATTAAACTTAAAAGTGTGTTGAGACTATTTTTTTCCCTGGAGGGCTGGTTGTTAAACATTTACCAGCACACCCCTGGTATTATGCAAAATGAGAGGATTGAGCTTATCTTTTGGGCCTGCTTCCTCTTCTCACTCCTTCCTCCATTTGTAGGGCCAGGAGAGGGAGGGAGGAGTGGGTTCATTCCCACCCCCACCTTCCCACTCCCCTTGTTACTGCAAACATGCAGCAATTTCCAATAAGATTCCAACCAGGTAGAAAGCATTCCAGGTGCTCTTAGTGAAGACATCTGAGCATAACACACCAGGGTTAAGTGTGACAGAAATAGGAAGTCCTGTAATTCCAGGCTGTCATGAAATAGCTACTTTATTTTCCCTGTAAAGACTTCCCTTCACAAATGTGTGTGTGTGTGTGTGTTACTCAAGTACAGAGCACTCAGCAGTTTTAATGAGTCCAGTGTTTCTCCTGCCCTTGCCACACTATTCACACTATAAATAACTAATATTTCTGTGGTGCTTTAAGGTTTGCAGAACACTTTACAAATGTATTATCTCATCTGCACAGTTTTACCACAACTCTACGAGGTGAGAACCATTATTATTCCCATTTTACAGATGAGGAAATGAAGTCTGAGAGAAAAGTAAAGTGATTTGTCCATGGTTCCCAGCCAGTATTAAAACTCAGGTCTTCCTGATTCCAAGTTCAGTGTTCTTTTTGTTGTGTTTGTCCTTCGTTCTCGAAGAGGACCATGACATCAGGGAGATGATGACATGACTTGCAATTGACTTTATTTTGAGTGAGTGAGGGCTGAAAAAGTAGGGTTAAAAGGCTCGTCCGGCCTTTGAATCCTAAACTGGGATCATACCCCAGATCATACCCCATACCTCTACACCCAAGGGTATAGAGTACCTAGCAGCCTGTATCATTCCACTCCCCTATCCCACTAATAGAAACTTTTTTCCCTAACAGGGGAATAAGGCTGCTCAATGGAGAGGGTAGAAAGGGTGATATTAGGCTAGCAGAGAAGAGGGGAGCAGTGGTGAAGGGAACTGAAAACAGAGCCAGTTCTAATTGGGGTACCACAGTGAGGAAAGGTCTGGGAGAGCCATCTCACCCCTTTAAGCGTCCACCATTTTTTGCTCCCATCAAAAATGACCCAACCTGTGTCCAGTTCCCTTGGGCAGGGGTGAGGAATCTGCAGCGGCCTCGAGGCCACACTTGGCCCTCCAGGTCCTCAAGTGTGGCATTTGAGAATTTAGAGGGCCCCATGTGGCCTCGAGGTTGCAGATTTCCCACCCCTGCCCTTGTAGCTCTGTTCTCTGCTAATCTGATAAACTAATTCAAGCCAAGGTGCTAATGATATCCTTGTTTTCCCATTGTAACAAGGGGCCTTAATGCCTTAACACTCTCATATTGACAAATAACTAGAATTTCAGATTCAATAAAAGGCAGAAATAAACACTAGAGAGGGGGATATAAACAGCTTTTTGTGGGCATCTCAAATCACAGAGGAAGCCAACTCATAAAGCCGGCCCTGATGGAAACCATCGTTGGCATTTGACTTTCCTCCTGCCTATCGTTGTCTTGGTAATTTCCCCTGCTAACGATTTGTACCAAATTGAGAATTGGCTGTTGGAAAGCATATGCCCAGCTTTGCTCCGCCTTATATTCAGCCACTGAAGTATGTTTGTTATGAGCCCTTAGGGGCCAGAATTCAGTGCTGCTACTTTCTGCTGAAGAAGTGGTTAAAACTAAACTTAGAAGGGAGAACCAGAAGAATAATGAAAACTAGAATGACATGGAACCATCTTACACATACACTAGGACTGGTGGGTTTCTTGACCTCAGGAGTTCTGAACTTCAGTAGGGCTAATGATCCTGGTGTCTGCACTGAGTACAGGACCAATATCGGGGGACCCCTCCCTCAGGACTGCAGAGGCTACCAGGTTGCCTAAGGAGGATTGGACTGACTCAGCTGCAGATCCAAGCTGTCATGCCAGTTGATGGTGAAATTGCACCTGTGAGGTGCCTATATTTACAGCCTGGGGAAGATAGGGAAACCTAGTCTTAAAAAAAAAATTAAAAATTGAAAGACTTAAGAACTCTTATCAGCACAGTGATCAAAATTCCAGAGGATCTTTGATGAAGAAGAATGTTATCCTCATTCTGATGGACAGATAATGGACTAAATATGCAAAATGAGACTGTAGCCCATATGAGAATTTGTTTTGTTTAACTATGCATTTTTGTTGCAAGGGTTTTTCCTGCGGGGCAGGAAGGTTGGAGGGAGAAAAAAAAAAGAATGCTTGATAACTGGAAAAAATAAAGTATAATTAAAAAAAAAAACTAAACTAAACTAACCCCCCCCCATATGGATCCCCTTTGGGTGAAGAATCTAGGCCTACCTTCATCTCTGTTTCCACCCTGCCCTAATTTGTCAGACCATCTGCATTCCAGAAGTAGGATGTGTGTGTGTGTTTTTAAATATTAAGAACAGGTCATTACACTGTTTAAAGACCTAAATTTGAATGAAGAATCTCCCTCCCAAAATGGCATAGAAAAGATGTTGTACTGGTTGGAATCCAAGAGACTGGAACACCGCAAACCTTAAGCAGAAGAGATAGGAATGTCAGAATTCAGGGCTTGTCTCTTCCTAGATGAGTGAGGTGCTGTTCAGTCATGCCAGATGGAACCACAGAGTTTGATGGCTAGCTGGTATTTAGTTTTTAAATGAGGCATGTCCCTGAGGGTGTGGAGAGGAGCTGGGATGAGGGACAAAGAGGGTAATTTAGTATGGAATGATGGCTGAGGAATGTGTAGCATTTCACTAAGAAATGTGCAGTATTTCCATTGTGAATGAGTCAGAGTACGGACAGTACTCTATTAACTGGCCCTTATCCAACCAGAAAGCTTTGGAAGCGAGCACTTCCATATCCTCAATACAAATGCTCCTTTGAAGAAGCTAGCCAGAACAGGATCATAGACCAGAGATGGAAGGAATCCGAGAGGCCATCTACTCCTACTCTTTTATTTTACAAAATAGGAAATTGAGGCCAAGAAAAGTGGCTTGCTTTGAACTTATCTTTCCTTTGGCTACAATCCAGCATTCTTCCTGCAACCAAGCTGACTATAAAAATGGATTTATATAATTGGGATGGCAGGGGCCAACTATGTGCTGTCTCAGATGTTTTGGGAAAAGAAACTTAGCACCTACTATGTGCTAAGTGCTTTGTACAAATATCATCTCATTTGATTCTTAAAATAACCCTGGGCGGTACATCTTATTATTATCCCCATATTACAGTTGAGGAGACTGAGATTAAGTGACTTGCCCAGAGTCAAATTAGTAAATGTCTCAGTCACATTTGAACTCAGTCACATTTGAACTCAGGTCTTCCTGACTCTAGGCCCAATGCTCTATCTACTGTGCCACCAGCTAGGAACAGTCCCTGTGCCTTACTGCTGATACTTTCCTAGGTTGTTTTTAAAGTATTAGAAAAAAATTGTGGAAACTAATGCTCTGCAGACTGCCAGCTGTAGGAAAATCCAGGAAGGGAGGGGACAGGAGGAGAGGAAGGAGGAAAGAGAGAAGGGAGATGGGAGGATTTTCTTTCCTCTGCAATTCAAGGAGGCAGCTTGCTGTTTGGCTCAGAGCTGGAAAATTCGGGATAAATATAGGATTAAGTAGAAAAAATAGAATAAACCTGGACTTCTAAGCATGACTCTAACCTAGAGATCATCCTTGCTAGAGAGATTTGTCTTAAAACCAGGTTCTGTTCCTTATTTTCCTTATTTGTACATTTCCCACATTTCATAGGTCCTGCTCTTGGGAGAGTTTGCTAAAAATGTACCATGAGGGTCAGAGCAGGAAGAGAATAATGTGCTCATGTGTTACTTGTGAAATCAGCTGTCTTCTCCAAGGCAGAAGCTTGTTGCCCCCCAGTGGCTGCACCATGTCCTGGTTACTGGCTGAGCCCTACAGCTGGAGTGGCCAGAGAAAACATGACTGGTCAGAGAAAGCACTGCCTGCCATCCTAAATATGCCTGGGTTTCCTTTCAGGGCTGACAGACAGCAAGCCGAGGCTCTAAATGCTTCTGTCTCTTTTCAACATGGAAGCATTTTCTCCGGCTTTGCTAAGCCATCCCAAGGGCAGGCACAAGCAATTTACAAGATTCTGCCATTTTTTCCATTGAGAATATTCAAGGAGTGATGCCTGTCAAGGAGACAGTCACTGCCATGATAGAACAGCCGTGATCTCTTTGATATGTTTTCTTATCCTTAGCATTTCATAGTCTGCCTCTTTGTGAATGCCTCAATTCATTTTTTGAATTTTTTGAATTCATTCATTCTTT